CTCAACAGAAGTCAGGTAGCTGATATCACATGTGAGGCTGGTGACCATTGTTCACCACTAACATTTTCTATGCACTATAGCTCTTCTGCTGATAATGCTACTTTACCAAGCCAATTGATTCCTGATTCTTTTGTTTTGCCATTCGTATCAAGTATGGAAGAAAATATGATCCACATCAAGCATCAAATGGAGGATAACCTACTTCCAACTCAGAATATGTGCCAAGGAAGTAACATTAATTTACCAACACAGGAAGGGACAACTGTTACATGTATTCAAGAGGATTCTATAATGGATTGCAATGGCATTGATATTTGTCAGGGTATGAGTTTTAAAGGTGAAGCTAGTGCTTATTGTTCAATTACTGGAAACTCATCTTCTGATGCTAAAAATGGAGCTTTTGCTGACAATGCCTCAAGGCAATCGTTGCCTTCTCTTCAGTCTTTCAGGTCAAGTAAGAATGAAGAGGTTTGCATGAAGGATGAAAGAGAGGATGAACTGCTTGTATCTAATAGCATATTTTGTCACTCTGTAAAAGTCCTCAAGGAAGACACCAATGACCATAATTCCTCAGTCAGTGGTGATGCTGGTGCTGATAATGTACATAACTCCGATGCTGGTGCTGATAATGTACCATCTGTTTACAATGACTCAAGGCAATTGTTGCCTGGTGTACAGCCATTTACTTCAATTAAAAGTCAGTCTGTATGCATTAAGGAAGAACGAGAGAATATACTGATTCCATCAGAGTACATGGTTCATCATTCTTTAAAAGCCATTGGTGAAGCTGCCCAGAGTAGTCGCATTGGGCATAGGTATCATGTTGATGATGATGCTGATATATGTATTCTTGAAGATATTAGTGATCCTATACGGTCAACCCCATTTGTAGCGCATGCAAAACCCTCTGTGACTGCAACACATTCTATGTATAGTGACTCTATTCATCACACAGGATTTGGAAGCCCAGGGCGTAAAGCAAATGATGAAAGATTAACTTTTCGAGTTGCATTGCAGGTTAGACCTATGAACTTTATTTTTTGTTGCTCAGAGCAGTAATTGTGGAGATATATGTGAAGTAATACCTAAATGGCTTAAGTGGCAGCTCCCCCCAACTAAGTTGAATATTTAGTATAAGGAGTATGTGATCTTCATTTTGGTTTGTCCAAAGAAGCTTTATTTGTTTGAGGAAATTGGGTTTTTGAATTTTGTCTGCAGACCCCCTTCATTTAGGGTCCAGAAAAAGAAAAAAAAAAGATCCCTTTTATGAGTGGTAATGCTTACATGGAAGAAGAAATAAAGTGTTTGTATTTCATTTTCCAAGGAAGTTGTTTTGTTCATGATTATATGAGAGTATGTTGTATCTAAAGTTGAACTGCATTTGCAGGATCTTGCTCAGCCAAAATCAGAAGCTAGTCCACCAGATGGTGTTTTGGCCGTCCCCCTTTTGAGACATCAGGTTTGTTTATCTGGCAAGCTTGAAATTCTGAAAGAGTTTGTAGTTCAGATTCTGCAAAAGGGACACCTATTCACTAGCAAATATGGAGGGAAAACCATTTAGTAAGCTCCAGTTTAAGAAGTTATCACCTGATTTTAGATTTGCTCTATTGAGTGGTTGATTGTCCTCCAATATTTTTTGGGACAGTAAAAATCACAAGAATGTTGAATGACCTTAGGCAAGTCTATGTTGGATTGCCTTAATTGACCAAATGTAAATGAATTAGCCTAGGTGATCTATGTCATCCAACTGAATTTTAATTGATGCTTTGAACAGCGAATTGCTTTGTCATGGATGGTGCAAAAGGAAACAGCCAGTGTACCCTGTTCTGGAGGAATTCTTGCTGATGATCAGGTTAATTGGCCATTAGTGCGAATTCATCCTTGTTCTCTGAACTTTCTTGATGTGTTCTTTAATAGCTGACATAATCATTATCTGGCAGGGATTGGGAAAGACAGTATCAACAATTGCACTTATACTGAAGGAACGGTCTCCATCCTCCAAGATGAATTCTGTTGTTGCAAAACAAGGTGAATTGGAGTCTTTAAATTTGGATGAGGATGATGATGGGGTCTTAGATGTAGATGGAGTGAAGCAAGACAAAGATTCTGGCCTTACTAAGAAGGTGGCGAAGGGTGAGAATGCTTCTATGGTCACAAAGGGGAGACCAGCCGCTGGAACATTGATTGTATGTCCAACGAGTGTCCTCCGGCAATGGGCCGATGAGCTGCATAATAAAGTCACCAAGGAAGCCAATCTTTCTTTTCTTGTATACCATGGAACCAATCGAACAAAGGATCCTTATGATCTGGCGAAGTATGATGTTGTGCTTACAACATATTCCATTGTAAGCATGGAGGTTCCAAAGCAGCCTCTTGTGGATAAAGATGATGATGAGAAGGGCAAGGCAGAAACTCATGGTTTGCCATCTATGGATTTGTCTTCCAGTAGAAAAAGAAAGTATCCTCCAAGTTCTGATAAGAAAACTCAGAATGTTAAGAAGGGAGTGGATGGTGCATTGCTTGAATCTGTCTCTCGTCCTCTTGCAAGGGTTGGATGGTTTAGGGTAGTATTGGATGAAGCACAGAGTATTAAAAATTATAGAACTCAAGTTGCAAGGGCATGCTGGGGACTTAGAGCTAAAAGGAGGTGGTGCTTGTCAGGCACACCTATCCAGAATGCTGTTGATGATCTTTATAGTTACTTCAGATTCCTTAGATATGACCCATATGCTGTCTACAAGTCATTCTGCTCTATGATAAAGATTCCGATTAATAAGAATCCGACGCATGGGTACAAAAAACTACAAGCTGTTCTTAAGACCATAATGCTTCGTCGCACAAAAGGTGATGCTAGGGATTACACTTTATACATATCTTACCATCTTTGGTGTTTTATATTTTGATCACTTACCATCTTTGGGTTTTCAATGGATTACTGATGATACTCTCTATTATTATCCAAAAAAATGTAACTCTCCATGGGATAAACTTTATTTTTTTATTATTTTTATCAGAAACGGTAACTTCCATTAAATTAATAAAAGATTAATAGAAGATTTTTGAACAGGCACCCAAAGAGAGTGCCATAACCCAGAAAATAATCCCTTATTACAAGTCTGACCAAAAGAAATCAGCCTTAGGAGATCCTTGTTTAGCTAACCCATCATCTAAGCCATTGGCTGACCTTCTAACCCAATTAAATTCTACATCTATTTCCCTTGTTAGAGATCATATTTCCCTCATACCCTGTCTATGTGTCCATACCTCCAAGGCTCCAAGCTTCCTTCCTGCATCCATCCTATTACCAAACATAAGTCTCCTGCTGCTTCAATCTGATGAAGCCCCAGCTGCTTGGCCAACTTTAGCCCATGATGGAGGAGGCTAATATCTCAGCTTTTAGTGAGTCTCCCACCCCATTTGGCCCCAAATAAAGGGCTAAGATTCTGTGGTGTCTCTCTCTTACTAAAAGGGCAGCCCAGTGCACAAGGCTCCCGCCAATGTGGGGTCTGGGGAGGGACCGATGTACGCAGCCTTACCCCTCCACATACAGAGAGGCTGTTTCCAAGATTTGAACCCTGACCCAGGTCATAATGGAGCAATGCAATTGTCCATCTCTTACTCCATGGCTAAACTTTTATCTTCCTATTTTTCTTTTCCAATTGATTTTTTTTTCTCTTAGACACTGATTTATATGTAAAAGCTTCAGTTCTGGAAGCTAATGGCCCTTGTGTTAATTGCTTTAGTTTTTGTTATCTTTTAACCATTTTCACCTTTTTTTTTGATGAATACCATTATTACCTTAGTTCTTCAAACCTTATTGTATAAGTTGAACACTTTGAGGTAATGATTATCCCTTGTGCAACTCCTCCCCAGATCCCCTTTGGATGCTTTTCTCTTGAATGCAGTGTTGCATGGACTCAGACACAGGAATTGGAATCTGACATGCGTCCAGGAGTCTGACCCCATGAATCCAAAAAGCAGGATTTATGGACATGTCTCACATAGATAATATTTTTATTATTACATATATACATTAAATATCATGTTTTTAATTTTATTTTAAAATTCATAGAACTATATGCAATTGACAAGTTAAAGCCACAGCCTTTGCCTATTTGTCACATAGTCACACTAGTTTTTCATTGTTTTCCTAGTTCTGATGATAACTGGAAAAGATCCAACAATGGATCATAGTTTACATATAAATTGGAAAAATAAAAATACCAGAGTGCTCTATTGGTCAGTTTAAATGGTTGGATCACGTTAATAGAGGCATTTAAAGTGAGGATTTGTAATTTTCTGAGAGTCAATGTGGCAGACATTTTGGTAAATCTGCCTGATTCACATTGTAGTAGAGTTGATTATGTATTTTGGGGAGTTGGACACTGCTTGAGTGGGGTTCTAAACTTGTAATTTCTTTCCAGTTTTAAGGGAATGCTGTTGCTAAAGTGGCCGCTCTCATATTTGGACCTTGTTTTCACACTAGTCTGCCCAAAATTTTACCATTGCACCAAGTAGTGACTCGTAATTTCTTTTCATTGCTTGTATATATTTTATACATGGGATTAATTCAAGGGTGCTAAAAGAGGAGATCACCAATAGAAATGCACCACTTCACTCCTAAAACCCTATTCTTACAGACTTGATTGGCTGTTGGTTTCCATTTTGTTAGTTGTCTTTTCTAGAGGTTATAGTGACAAATTGGAAATGGTTGTATTTATGAAGGGAAGGGAGATCCATCATATGGATGGCCGAACCAAGCAGGGTGGCTGGGCGAAATTTCAAAAATTTCTTTCTCCCTTCTGGGAATCCTATCCCCTGTTTTTAGAAAAACTGCAATTTTCAAGGTTCGTTCTTGAAACAAACTGAATCAAATTTGAAACCAAGATTAGGGAAGGGATATACCTGATACGGAATCAACAGTAGTTCCCAATGTAGGTGTTCACGCCCAAAGAGTTCACAAAATCCATCATCCATTGAAGATGACACAGCTTAGGGTTAGGCAGGGTTAGCAAAGAAATTCTTCAGTAAAAACCCCAATTCTTCGGCAAGAATCACGCAGGGATGTGAGCACAACTTCAAGATTGTTTCTTCTAGCAAGAAACAATATCAAAATCCAATCTTGATTACTCCAAGAATGTGGAGATCGAACTGGGTAGAGCGGCAAGAACAGAGAGAAGATCTGAGATCTGCAGAAGTGTTTAACAGAAGGATTTCTCCCTCTATTTATGATCCTTCTTGGATCAGCTTCCTAATCATATCAGGAGAGGGTTCTTTGATCCAAATCTTTATTTGGATCTGAACTCCTAACTGGATAAGACATATCTTATCCTCTTGCTGATCTAGAAGCAGATCTAAACTCAAATTCGCCCATCTCTTATTAATCTTACTAAGCCAGTTCGAATTGGGCTTTAGGCCCATTAAGTTATCAGGCTCACTTCCTCTTTAATTTGCTGGCTAGCTTGGCTCTTTTTGTATGGCGTGGGACCCTAGCATTGATCTCCACAAAAGCCATATAGGTTCAGCCTAGCCTCTGTTACAAGGCCTGGCCGAATTCATTGTTGAAGACAGTGAACCCCTGAGCCCATTAGTATGGGCCCTTAGCAGGTCCAACTTTTACACTAAATGGTCCTTGGGTCCAACCACCTTATGAAGGCCCAAGGACTATGGACTTAAGTGAGATTAGCCCATCAGGTAAAAGCCCTAAATGGTCTTACACTTAACCTCTCAGCCCATAATGATCAAACACTGCCTGACAAGAGAGGACCTCTCCCTCGGCTGCAAGCCACAGTGTTGCACTCTCTGCTCACATTGATCTCGGGAATTAAAACCTTTTGCAAACATTTTGTGAAACCATAATATATATGCATATCTCTATATAAATATATTTTGCAAAACAAATCTCAACAAGTTTGAAATCAACTGCCGGCAGTTTAGGTTTCCATCAGAGAGAGTGCATTCCCTGATCATTCACTTTGTTCGACAAAGGGGCTAGTTCTATCACTATGATCACCCACTCAGGTGAATTCTCAGACTGCCCCAACATACCTAGGTTTTGACCCCTGTTAAGGATCTCACTAATTGGCATATCAAAGACAACCTAATCCAACACCTAGTGTAGTATCATAATCGAGTGTAGGGGTTAGGTGTAACTTTCCAGTTTTGCCCATCTGTCTCCAACGTCCAGGGCATAACTGGAAAATGGTTCGGTTCAGGGTTTCAAACAAACCCACACTACACGTGCTTCAAGTCTCACCCTGGCAGCTGAGACAAGCCACCCCAACCGATTTGGCAGCACATTAGTGTCAGCCTTGGTAGGATAAACCTCCCTAGGTCTATCCAACGGCTGTGAAGATTCTAAACTAATACGTAAGTGTCCAGTTTAAGGGTATTACACAGAAACACACCATATATAACATGAATCAATTATGTACTATTATTCATTTACAATAAATGTCAAAAGTACATCAATCTGATTGGAGCTAAGGGCATACACTGTCTAACAATTTATTCATTGTTTAGCAACATCTTGTTCTAAGATGGGTAATACAGATTCTATGTCTGTTTATGCTGATTCATTTGCTCATGTTTCTTATGGCTGCATTTAGGGCGGTGTTTATAAATGTAACCTACTATTTTGAGTTATACTCATATAGTGGCACTTGTTTTTTTAGGCACTATTATTGATGGGAAACCTATAATTACCTTGCCGCTGAAATCAATAGAGCTGAAAAAAGTGGATTTCTCAAAAGAGGAATGGGACTTCTACTCCAAACTAGAGGCTGATTCGCGTGCAAAATTCAAGGTTTTTTTACAACTTTTCAATGAGTTAGTAGTATGATATTGGATTCATTTTGTAATTCCACGTGTACATTGTCCATGTGCCACTTGTGTTCCATTTTCTTTGTATGAGAATTTAATATTATTCATGGTTCTAACTCTCCTTATGTTCATATTTAATTGGCTTTTAATGTGTATATTCTATCAGGTTTATGAAGATGCCGGCACTGTTAAAGAGAATTATGTTAATATTTTATTGATGCTCTTGCGTTTGCGACAAGCCTGTGATCACCCTCTTCTTGTCAAGGGTTATGATTCTAGTTCTGTTTGGAGTTCCTCTATAGAGACTGCAAAGAAACTTCCTAGGGAGAAGAAGCTGGATCTTTTGAATTGTTTGGAAGCCTTAGCAATTTGTGGCATTTGCAATGTATGTAGTTACTCTTTCATTTTGTCATTGTGGGTTCCTTTTACCYCCCCCCCCCACCCCAMAAAAAAAAAAAAAAAAAACACACACACCAAAAAAGTCACAGCTTTAAGTAGATATGTAGACATCAACTAGATTTTACATCTTCATTTTTACTTGTATATTTGCCTTTTTCTGGGGTAAAAGTAGACATGGAATTAAGGATGAAGTATTAGATGCTAAAAGAAAGGGGATGAAGTTCTACTAATTAAATTTGTCCTAGAAGAAGAAATAAATAACATAATTAGTGTTTATACACCTCAAACCAAATGAATGCATTAAAAGAAAGTTTTTGTAAAGTTTGGATGCACTAGTTCAGAAATTCCAATTGGTGAAATAACATCTATTGGAAGATATTTAAATGGTCACATAGGGAAAGAAAGTGCAGGGTATGATAAGGTGCATTAAGGATATGGTTAAAAATAAAAAGAATGAGGCAGGGGATACAATTTTGGAGTATGCAGTGGCATTTGGTCTTGCAATAACATTTAGTTACTTTTAAAAGTGGATCTAATAACAGCCAAATAGATTATTTTCTGATTAGAAGAATAGAACAGATAATAAGTAGGGATTGTAGGGGTGGAGCTTGGGACAGGTTGGGACTGTTGGGTTGGCTTGAGGTCAACCGAAGCCCAAAACAAGAACAAGGCAAGGGTACCTCAAACCTAACCTTGTCTAACTTGAGCCTCAACCCAAGCCCAACCTGATCAATGTTTTAAAACGTGGACACATGACACAATGCATTCTACCATCCCAGGGTTGAGGTGTAAACCAGAATGTATGAGGCATAAGTCTCCTCAGCATGGATTTTTTTTTCATTTAATAAATAATTAAAAATAAGATAAGATAGATAAAAATATAGTAAATATCCCATGAAAATATAGTGGCAAATTAGAAAATTTCATATTTGCAATTTCTAATAATAAAACCATCACATTTAAATATAAAATTGAAGTATAGAGGTGTACACCTCAAGCATCTCTGTCTCCACTGTGTGGCTGCAGCCATATGCTTCCAGTGCCTTTTAAAACAATGAACCTGACCTTAGAATATGCGATCCTAACCCAACCCAAGTAACCTGATTTTTTTTTATTGGTGTGGGTGGAGTTGGGTTAGCCTAATAAATATGAGAAAAAAAAAAGAACTGGCAATAGACTGTTTATTTTGTGATTGAGAAAAAGATAAAATGTATATTTATTTATTTATTACAACTGCTAAAAACCTTGGCATGAATCAAAGCTTTAATCTTTTATCTTGTCTGATATCTGGTGAGCATTTCTGTTTGTTGACATACTTCCCTCTTCTGTTTTCTATAGGATCCACCTGAAGATGCTGTTGTTACCATCTGCAGCCATGTTTTCTGCAACCAATGTATCTGTGAACGCCTATCCAGTGATGATAACCTGTGCCCTGCAGCAGACTGCAAAGTTAAACTCAGTGTAACTTCTGTTTTTTCCAAAGCCACACTGAAATGCTCTCTTTCTGACCAGTCTGGTCAGGGTAATTCCAATTCCAATTTTGCCTCTAAGCTTGTTCAGACATTTGAGCCATGTCCAGAGGGTCTTTCCTCTGATTCATCCAAAATCAAAGCTGCTCTAGAAGTCCTGAAGACACTATCTAAACCATTGGAGTGTACACCAAGAGATAATACTTCACACTCTAGTAATCAGAGTACCAACTGTGCAGAAAATGGATCCGATTCTCATTCAGATTGTTCATTTAAGGATAGCCCTGACAAAGCTAAAGTAGCAGAGAAAGCAATTGTCTTTTCCCAGTGGACAAGGATGCTGGATTTGCTTGAAGCTCGTCTTAAAAGTTCTTCTATACAGTACAGAAGACTTGATGGGACAATGTCAATTGTTGCTAGGGACAAAGCTGTGAAAGATTTTAACTCCCTTCCAGAGGTTTGGTTCTGAAAACTTTCACTGCTTTTTAACTTTATTCTTAGGTTGTCTGGATTTGCAGAAACAAGTACTGAGAGTGCAATGTCAGTATCTTTTTCTGTTTCACTTAATGCTTTTGCATTTCTCATGAATTTACTTCTTAAATGAGTTTCTTCGTTTTCCATTATAGGTTTCTGTTATGATTATGTCATTGAAAGCAGCAAGTCTTGGACTAAACATGGTGGCAGCTTGTCGTGTTCTCCTTCTGGATCTATGGTGGAACCCAACAACTGAAGATCAAGCAATTGATAGAGCACATCGAATTGGGCAGACTCGTCCAGTCACAGTTTTGCGGTTAACTGTGAAAGATACAGTTGAAGATCGAATTTTAGCCCTTCAGGCATGGTTTTGTCACCTTGCCTTACCATTTTTTATTTAATTGTATTAATTCTTGCATGTTGTATTTGGAATCTTTCATATGAGTATCAAGTGACTGAACGTCACTTGATCATATTCTCACATGCCAAAGATGAGTTTTTGATGACTGTTAAGAATTTCCTTTTAGTTGTTGATAATCTTCTTGTTTGCCAGTAAAAAAATATATGATATCATTTTGTCCTGGACTTTGGCTTGACTAGTCAGTTTGTAAAGCCAAGAGATACACATTTATAGTGTAGACTGTAGATCAGTTTAGATAAACATGAATTTCCATGCTCTCTCTCTCTCTCTCTCACAAACACACACACATGTGCACATGTTATTTAGGAGCTTGTGTATTTTAAATTTACAATTAATTTACATGCCAATAGACCTCCTTATCTTTCTGCCAGGCTTTTTTTCTCTATTCTTCTTAATTGTTCTTTAACAAGGAATTCTGTAATTTCACCAGCACACCTACTTTAACAAGGAATTCTTAATTGTTCTTTCATTTTAATCCTTTTATCTCAGTTGAACAACACTCACAGAATGTGGGTTTTGCAGCAAAAAAAGAGGGAGATGGTTGCATCAGCATTTGGAGAGGATGAGACCGGTAGCTGCCAGACTCGTCTTACTGTGGAGGACTTGAAATACCTGTTTATGGTGTGATGTGGGTTGTTATTTTGACTAGGATATTGCCAATATTGGTTTTAACTAACTGAGGCTCTTCTTTAGCTAGTAGCTAGAAGGCGGATTGTCTTGGGGTCTGAGATGTTATTGCCTGCAGTAGATATAGAAGTGGTTGGAGCAGTTCTCCTTTGGGTGAGATTAGAGGAGCTTTGAATAGAGGTATTAACTAACAACATACGTGGGGATAAATATCACAGGGCATATTACACCAAAGATCATGTGAATAGTTCTTGAAGAATACACAGCTCATTTTTTCCTTCATTGTCAACAAGCATGATTATGAAATTCTTTTGTCAAGTGTAATTCACGATTTCACGGTTATCTTATATTCTCTGGTACTCGTACAGCAAGTGTAATTCAGGATTATCTTTATATTCTTTGACACAGTGAGAAGTTGCATTTTAATATGCCATTGTAATTAGTTCATTCGATGAAATTCCGATTTGTTCTTCACTCTTCCTTTCTGGTTAACAGATGATGACAGATTTCGATGTATAATGTTTTTCATAGATATGTGATAACTTTCTGAAACCTGACGTTGATAAGAATTTACAGATATGTTTCTCTTGTGAGCTCCTTCATTCTTTATCAATTCGTACATTTGGGGTACTTGTTAATTATTTATGTATGTTGGTGCAACCATTTGATTATTTCTTCGATGAAGTTATGTTTAAGACCTTGTACAACCGTTACAAGCTACCATTGGCTGCATTCCATCTTGGTGATACCATAAATAAGCAATGGTCCCCTCAGGATGAATTGGGTTATTGAAAACTCCACAGTAAGTTTGAAAACAGCAGATCACTAGTGCCTTATCCTCTGCTATATTACAACTCTATGGAGGTTTTATTTAAGACCTATACAATGATCATTTGAGTTGCGTATTTCTCTTAGGCCTTGTTCGTTTACAACTTTACAAGTTATTTGGGTAAGTGCATTTATCCAGGTAAACATTTATCTGGGTAAATTCACTTACCATGTTCTTTTGATTTTTAGGATTTCTAGGTAAGTAATAAAATGATATTTTTACTCACAAAAATTTGGTATTAAAATGGGCAAAATTGTCTCATTATCTTTTATATTAATTTTTTGTAGGTGAGAAGATTATTTATCTACGTGGGATGGAAAATTTTACTTGGGAAAGAAAAGATGATTTTACCGTGGGGCTCATTGTTAATGCAAAAAGAATATGAGGAAGTTGGTCAATGGACCCATTGGCCAACTTTTCCATGCATATTTGTTGGTAAACGAACACGGCGTGGAATCTCTTTTTTAGTGGTTGCAGAGTAGGTGTAGTCTATCATTTGATATATGTTGAAACTTTTAGGGTGGAAAGTTTTAGGCCTATAATTATGGATCAAAAGAAAATATGTTTCTTTTGGTATCATCTGTCTCTGCTTATAAAGGTGGCAATCTCTTAGTGATTGGAAAAAACATGGGGTAAAAAAGATTGTGCCGTGAAAAAGTTTTGAATCATGAAATCCACCCTAAGTATTTTATAGCTAACTTTTGAAGAATGCAATCCAAAAGAGTGTGAAAGCATGATTTTGTGTTTTATTTGGTGAAAACATTCCTATTTTTATTTTTTTGATAAGACAATAAATTTAGTCGAGAATATGAGATTCCGGCTTAAGAAAATAAAACACCAGCTCAACCAGGAGAAACGAACCAAGTACGCCCATGAGCTTACAGTTCCAAAAATTGGAGCCTGAACGCGGTCAATTATCTAATGTTGGTCATGACTATTTTGGAGTTTGGATTTAGTTGAACATCACCCTTGTCTTTTATGATGACATATTTCGGATCTACAGCTGAAATGGCCGTTGGGACCCTGTTTGGGACCAAGGTTTAAAGTATTGGGTGTATTGTATTGTATGTTTAGGTTTCTGATACACCTATTTAAAGGTGTTTTGAGGAAATCGATATTTTTATTGATTAAATAATATAAAATAAGTGCCAAATAGAAATTCTGAAAAGAAAAAACTATAACACAAAAAAATCGTGGGGTAAAAAGTATGATACACCCCTATTGGCGTATCGGGGTGTATGATAATTTAAACGAACCAGATCCAGACTGATATTTGGGGTCTTATTTTTTCAAGTGGCCGTTCTCAGACTGGAATACCAAGTAGAGAGATGGGATTTTGACAATTGATCTCAAACTCAATTGTACTGCTTTTAAATGCTTGCATGAGCTGAATAAGGCTGCGTTTGGCAATGCTTTTTTAGCCTAAATAGGCTTTTAAAAAAGCTATTTTTTGAAATGAGCTTTTTGAAAAAGCATTTTTTTTTTAATATTTAGCTGGACAGTAGCTTTTTTTTTTAATCAAAACAGCTTATTACAAATGTAAATAGCTAGATGGAGTTTTTTTTTCATTTTCAAACGGAGAGTTTTTTCACCAAACGATAATTTCAGTAACCGTTGGCTTTTCCAACGTGAAAATCACAAAAAATCCGTTGGAGTAATGCTCCCAAATGCGGCCTAATAATTTCAATATTTGGTGTTTATCCACTTGACAGATTGTTGTGGCCCATATAATTGATGAGTTTACAATTGGGGAGTCTGGACCTGTTGCGACATAAGAACATAGGGGTAAAATAGAAGGCTTTGAGTTTGTTCCCTAATCTATTTAGAGATATATTAAAAGAGGTAAAATTGGAAACAAAAATCAGGATATTCAACAAAGAATTTTTATAAAAGGTAAATTTCTTAAACTATCCTTATAATTTAGTTAATTGACTAAATGTAACAATTGAGTACTCCTTCTTACTAATTAACATCAATAGAGATGAGAAAAAGACTATTTTACCCTCTATTACTTAGATCTCTCTCCTTCTCATTTTCATCGCGGAAACTACCGAAATCGCTGAAACTGCCAGAACGGCAGATGATAACCGGATCTCAGATGTAAGGATATGGGGCAACTGGCACCTGGGTCTCCATCTCTTATGAATTCATGATCGTCAAAGTCGATGCCGTCTACACCATGTCCAGTAAGACCAAAACCATACTCATCACCCCTGCCAAACCACAAACCCGAACCCGTTCTAGAAAATGTCAACAAGTACCTCGACAATTCTTTGATTAATTATGAATTCTTCTTCTTCATTGTTGCAATTTCGAGAAATGACCATCATTGAAAAAAACCCAGAAACCAAATTGGCTGAAAGCCTTCTAGCTCTATGAACTAGGAATACAGAGATTGTTGGTGAAAGAACTTCCGACATCTAGCATAAACTAGAGGAAGAGGATGATATTAAAAACTGGTTATCAAATCCAGTGTCAGATAAGCGTGGAACCTACCGGAGGAGGACGCCTGCTCTCGAAATACCAGAAGGAGATTGACTTTGGGCCTTCTGGTATATATGCCGTGAAGATGTCTCGGCATGCCTGCAAACAAGGATCTAGGGTGGAAATGGGTTCTGGAAAGTACTTGGTTGCCGCCTCCCCTTCCCACAGATGAATCCCCTTCCCTTTGTCCTCTTCCCTCCACTTGAATCAGATCTGGGAGTTGTAGATGAATCCCCTTCCCTCCGCTCGAAGCAGATCTGGGAGTGTATCGTCCAGATAGGAGTTGTAGATGAATTCCCTTCCCTCCGTCCCCTTCCCTCCGTCCCCTTCCCTTTGCCCAGATCTAGGAGTTGCAGATGAATGCCCTTAACTGGATCTCAGATCTGAGTTTCTTAAACTGCCGGAACCGCTGAAACTACACTTTGCTCGAAGCAGATCTGGGAGTGTATCATCCAGATCCGGGGGTTGCAGATGAGTCCCCTTCCCTCCGCTCGAAGCCTAGAATTATGTTTTTGTCTCTCTCAGTCAACCAACCACCAAGATTGGTCATTGTCGTTGTCTCTGTGATGCTGCTCCTGCTGCTTCCTTCTTATTTTCTTCTTCTGCTTTTCATTGATTTTACTCCTCTGAAGTCTGAATTCTTCTCAGACAATGGTTACGCTGTCTGTGGCCTAAGGGGGAATTAATATTTTATGGGTAAGAGCAACCGGAGGTGGAGGGGGTTAATGCAGCGGCAGGTTCAGGACCGAATCACTTCGGTTTCCAGGTAAATTTGGGTTTTAAAAAAATATACATCAACTATATACTAAGTTTTCAAACACTAGGGGTACACTTTAGTTAATTAGCTAAATCATAAAGATAATTTAAGAAATTTATCCTTTTATAAATGGTAATAAACTTTATAATATATTTTATATTTTATATATTTATTTTATGACATCAAAAGTTCACTTGTTTGGTTAAGAGGGAAATGTGGTTTCAATCAATTTTTAGAAAATTGGTTTTTCATTGTGTTTTCTATCTCATGGACAAATTAACCAATTAACCAATTAATCAATCACACTAGTATTTTGGGTCCATTTATCATCAAATTACTTGCTCATAAAAAGCCATTAACTTGGTTAACAATATGGTGACCCAACTATTTGAGTTATTGAACTATTTGACCTAATTGGTGGGGTCACAAATCAAATATTAATTTTCTTTTTCATTCTATTTCCATCACTAATAAAAGTATTTTTATTTATCAACAATTTTTAATAATCTATTGTATTTTTACTTATTTTTTTATTTTTATTATTTAATTATAACATCATGGAATGACTCATATGACCTAGGTGGTTGGACATTGTCCCACTACTTGCATAGATGTGAAAACAAGTTTACTTTTGGGTCAATTTGAACTATAATTACTAGTAAAATTAAATATGATTTTCACACATTTTTGTTTCCAATTAAGTAAGATAGTCTCTGCACTAAGATTACATCCCAATGGGTGGGATAGTAGGCTCTGCACTAGTAGAGTTTGAGCTTATTCAATCTAGAAAAGTTTAACTAACATCTAGCCATTGTTTTTTAACCACATCAAATACTCAATGGGTAATGGGTCCCAAGTATGTATGTATATATTTGGTAAAATACTATGCCATATATGAAAAATACTATACAATTACCATAAAAAATGTAAGATACTATACAAATAAATAAGACATTATATATATATTATAAATATATGTACAACTTCTGTAATGGGTTAGGTTTGTTGGACATAGGGCTTACTTGGCATGATCCCAACCTGCCTTATGTATCGGCTTGATATGAATTCGATCTTGACAAAGCATGAGAGAAATTTGACTGCCTTAACCCAAGAATTTGCAAGCCAAGAAGGTCTGATTGATCATTAATGATCATCCCTACCCATCAACATCCTAATCCCACGTTTGTAAAGCTAAGCACATCCCTAAAATTAGAGTGAATAGTATCGATCCATAAAAACAAATAACACTTGAAATGGGTCATTGTAATGTATCTTAAATAGAAAATGGATGATTTTTTTTTGAAAGCTATAGAAATGGGTGATTAGAATAATTCTATAATTGTGCATATCATGTCTTAATCGGGTACAATCACTTATATCTTTTTTGGCCCTTTGAGCAATTTTAAGACCAATTAATCTATAACTAAGATTTGATCATTCGACATTAATCAAATGCTTAGCACAATTAATTAAAAAAAAGGTAAATTTTTGTTTGGTAATTGCAATCACCTCCCCTAAACTTTCTAACACAGTTGTAAATATACCCCCTTTATTAGAACCCTCTAACAAGAGGCATGAAAATGTCAATAATACCCATGCAGGTACTTTTGACAAAATGTTTATTATTCCAATTTTCAATTCATATCAATTGCTATCCCAAATTCTTCCAAATTGATTTATTTTACCAAATTTTTCCTTCATATCAATCGCTCAAAGGTAAAGCTGCAACTTTTTTTTGTTCATAAAGTTTGTATTATTTATTTTACCATTTTTTCCCTTCATATCAATCATTATTAATTTATTTTTTGTTCATAAAGTTGCATGCATTGGTATTGAAAACATTTTTGTGTATGTTATTAGAGGATTCTAATAGGGGATCTACTTACAACTGTCACAAAGTTCACAGGAAGTGATTGCATTTACCAAATTCCAGGGGAGGCTTTAGCAATGGTTAGAAACTTTAGGGGAGTTTCAAGAATATACCTTAAATAAAAAACTCATTATTCATTCAATATGACAACCAATTGATTGAAAACACTTAGGTTTCAATGAGAATTTAGGACAATTGTACATGAAATAGGAAGACACATGTAAAATGTCATTTACTAATAATGATAGAAGAGTGAAATATTAAATATACTTTGGTCTTTGAACATTTTCGATTACCTTTCAAGTTGAGAAACTGTAGTCATTAATTTTAGTCTTTAATAGTTTTTATCAAGCACGTTATAAAATACTTGCTTTCTCCTTGTTTATACTTTAGATAATGTCTAATATGAAAGTGACAAAGCAATTCAGTTACTAACTTAATATTTAAAGCACATGGAGAAATTATGGTCTTCGATTTCAATCTTCGAATATGTTTTATTAAACATGTAAAGAGTAACTACTGTCTTTAAATATGTTTTATTAAACGCGTGAAGTAATTGTTTTACCCTTATTAGCGGGGACCTCTGCAATAAACGAGATTTGCTAAGTTAAAGATAAATAATAGAAACATGTAAGGGTATACAATTGTTTTATATAACAATTAATAATTATTTATATTTTATATACCACTTTTAATAATTTTTTACAATACAAAAATAACAATAATTAATTTTAGATAAGGTTATTTATTAAACTTAGGGATTTGCCTCGAATGGGGTGAGGATGGAGATGATTTCCCCCATAGGTACAAAGATAGGAAAATTTTCATCCCCGTTGGTGGGGAGGGCACGGGGATGGGGAGAGCACTCCTTGCCCCGCGGGGACCCCGATCCCCGTCCCATAGGGTTTTCGCTAATATATGTATATATACGCATATCGTTATATATGTATATATGTATAGATATGTCTATATGCTAATATTTTTAAAAATATGGTTGAATATGCTTGAATCTTTTCTAATAGGACTATAAATTTTAATTATTTTATTTTTATTTTTTAAATAAAATTAAAAACAAAAAAATAATGGTTGACATTATAAAGAATCACGGGAGTGGGGATCCCCATGGAGACGGGGATAGGGAGAGGCTCCTCGTCCCCACCCCGCTCCGTTGCCATTCTTAATCAAACTAATGAAACTAACAAACCCAATTTCTAGTATTTCCAATATGCTTTGGTTCAACAATTTCCTAACCCGAATGGGTTGGATTAGTTTCGCTTTGGCCATTTATAAATTGATTAAAATCGAATGACCCGATCATAAATATATATTAATATTTTATATTTTAAATATAATTTTTAATACAGGAAAGTGGGAAAATTCCAATATTTCCTACGCTAAAATACTTTATATCATAAATTTAATTTTTGACTTTATTTTTTAATAATGCCATTGCAATTTTTTTTTTAAATTTCACCTTAATTTTTAAATTTAGTTTTTATGTTTAAATCTTTTGAACCGACCGACCAAATCGAAAATTGACCCAAATTGATAGAACCTAAGTGACCAACTTTCCAACCTAACCAAGTTGATTTGGTTGGCCAAACAACTTACAACTAAACCGAACCAACCCGTGAACAATTGTTTAATCTCTAATAATTATTAAAAAATCATAGCAAAAATACACAATAAATTAAATTTAAAAAGCTAAATAATAGTAGTTTAAACTCCAATAATTCTTGAAAACTTTCTATTAAATAACAAAACACAAATAGATTTTTACATAATTATTGAAAATATATTTATCATAGAAAACAATAAATAATTACTGAAATACAATAAATGTTAATTTTAGTATATATAAATATAGATTAAGTTTTAAATTATTATTAATAAATATTAACTTTTGAAAGTTATTTTCTAGAATTGTTAATTGGTATAAATGAAATTAGTTATTTACAATATTGTTTACTTATTGAAATAATATCATTATTTAAATTTTAAAATATTAATTACTTGTTGAATTTAATAATCCATAAAATTATAGTACTATTAATACATAATTTTATTATTTTAACTATTTAAAATATAGTTATATTAAATATTTCATTATTTAAAATATTTATTTATTTAACTAAATATTTAAAATCTTAGGTGGCGTTTAATTGCATGTTTTAGAGGTATGAAAATGCTACTTTTCAGACTTCACCTCTTGTTTGGTTGTACCTCTTAATCTGGATTTGAAACTGTTTTTTAGATCTAAAAATCATAACCTTGGGCCGATTCTTAACGCGCTTAGATGCGTTTTAGAGCCAGCCCAATGTCCAAAATATCCTTACAATTTTTCGTAAATGACCCAAATTACCCTTGAAAACCCCAAACCCAGAAAACCTAAACATTCGAACTCTCAGTCTCTCTCTCTCTCTCTCTTCGCCCTATCTTCTTGTTACCGCCACTGCAAGTTGCAGCGGCGGCCCTCTCTCTCCCCCTGTCTTCACTGCATGTGCCGTTCATGGCGATCTGTTCCATTGAAGTGGAAATGCTCCCAGCTCCCTTGGTTTGTATGGGTAGTGAGCAAGAAGAGACAAGCCTCTGCCTTTAACTTGTTCAGTCTTCCCAAAGGAAAGCTCTATAAGCTTCCCATGTCTTTTATAAGTTGTCATCAATGTTTTGGATCTGCTCACGGATGGCTACTAGTTAATAGCGTTGACATTGAACAACCTTACCTGTTCAATACCCTCACTAGAGTTCAGATCCGTCTTCCAGACCTGATAAACCCTAAAATCAGGAAACCAATCAACAAGGTCAAAGATTGCTAATGTTGGGTATAGAAAGCAACTTTCTACAAATTTCCTTGTTTTGATTCTGATAACGAAGACTTCGTAGTTGCCATGGCTGTGTCCGAGCCATTCAACCCTTGTATGGCCATAGCATGGACTTCCATAGATGCTTTTGTGAGGAATAAGAGTTTGGTTTCCACAGGACCTGCAGACAAAGCGTGGACATACATTGAAAATCCATATGAGACTTCATATAGAAAATTGTACAAAGATATCTTATATTTCAACGGCCAGCTTTACGTCCTCACCAACAATGGAGAACTTCTCCTCTATGACACAACGAAGGCAGTTAAGTTTGCATCCGAACCGGTTCAAAAAC